TGGGGGAGGGGGGAGAGTCGGGAGACTTCTACATAGATTATTAATAAATGAAGATGGAGAAAAGAAAGATGGGAGACTTCTAGAGAGACTACTAATATATAAAATAATTATTATTTTACATTTAATATCATATTCATTTTAGTCATTTGACATGTCAGAACAACTTTATATAAAGGTTTACAAAACACTCTTACACTTTTTTTTTTTTTTTTTTTTTGGTTAAAAGTTTATTAAAAAAAAAAAAGTTTACAAAACACTAAACTGCTTTATTTTACAGTTGTTTATTCCTACAACACAACAGAAACATTTTCTTTTTTTAAACACAACAATACCAAACTAACCCTAACACTCCTCGAATGATGTTATTTCCACTTTTGTCTCCTACAAATTTTGGACTGGACGGGCCGGACTACTACTCCTCGGCAAATTAAGGCTTATGTGTCTGTAATGTCTCCCCTCTAATGCAAGTGTTATTTGCTATATCTAAGAACATTTCCAATGAAATTGTAAACAGAATTCACACAACCATATAGTCTTTAAATATAGGACAAAAGTCTTCTAATGAATCGGAATTGAAATCCTCCAAGTATCTCCAATATATAAGAGCTCACCAAATACATCTAATAAATTCTCAAATATGAGGACTCAAATAAGGACTCAGAGACTGTGCCCTATTTTAATTGTGGGTATGGTGCATATTGTGCAGCAACTTCTACTCTTTTTGTTATTTTTCTTGTTTTCTGAACCCACCCACGTGAGAGTTTGTCATTTTGGTTTTCTCTTGTGGGTTTTTTTTTTTTTAAAAAAAAAAAAAAGAATTCTTGAAAAATCAATTGTAAAGATATTTTTTTATATTTTTTTTTAGCTTTTATCAATGATCACAATATTCCAATAAAATAAATAATATTTTTTAATATTTTAGTCCCTATATAAAGACTTTTCATTGCATACAATACTTTTTTAGGGACTCTAATATTCCTCAAAAAAAAAAAATTAAGAAAAGATGTAAGTTCATTATTTTTAAAAAATATTATTTTAATAGAAAAAAAATATCTAAAATAAATAAAACTAAAACAATAAAAAAATGGAATTTTCATGAAAATGACTTGAGCTAAGTTTATTTTAATAAAAAACCATGTTATAACTTTATTTAATTTAAAAGACTTAAATTTTAATGAAAAACTCTTAAATTTTAATAAAAATGATAAAAGAACTTAAATTTTAATGAAAAAGACATAATTTTAATATAAAAAAAAAATCTAACATGCGGATCCACGCATCATTACACAAACTGTTTATAAAACTTTCTACACTATTTATGAAACTTATTACACTGTTTATGAAAAATTACATATACTGTTTATGAAACTTACTACACTGTTTATAAAACTTAACAGTACTACACTGTTTATGAAATTCTACGGTACTACATTCTTCTCTCTCTCCTCTTCTTGAATTTTCTTGACACATTCACACCTTCCAAACACATTTTCTTATTTTAATTTTCTTTGATACTCATCAAATTTTCCATGTATCTCTTCAATTTCTTAACTTTCTACACCAATTACTTAATTTTCTTCTATTGTACGTCCATCTGCGGCTTCCTCTTCTCCTCCACCTACAATCTTAACTTTCTATAGCACGTGTTATTATGTAAGTGGTGGGAAATTTTATTTTTTAACACAAGAATCTCACCACTTGTATAAAGACGTGGTGTATCACTCTGTGTTCTAAGCATATTGAAAATTTCTCGTCATCTTGACTACTATTGGGAAACAACACCACAAAAATAAAATTGGGAAAATGTACTTCAATTTAAGGTCTTTCTATTATTCTAAGCAAATAATAATAATAATAATAATAATGGCTTAATGTTAGCTGACAATGGAGAGAAAACAGAGTGGAGATTGGGGGTGGTGTGGGGTGTGGGGTGTATGCGCGCCAACGCATGTGGTGTTTTCTATGTTTTTTTTTTTTTGTTGTCTCTTAACATCAAATAAAGTTAGTGGATAGTTTTTTATTAAATTGCAAAGATTTGAAACCATCTTCTTTAATTTTTCTTAAAAAAAAAAAAAAAAAAAAAAAAAAAAATCCATTTTCATTATTCTTAGGCGAGGCAAGCCTCTCTTCGTTGTAGCATACTGCTAATTTACTGCTCAATGTCGATTTCCACAAGTTGCACCTTTTCAACTTCTCCTTGACTTGGGTCACCTACCGACTTGCCGTAAAACTCGGTGCAAATCCAGGATGACTTGGTCAGAAAATTTCATGACCAATTTCACCGGTCGAGTATCTTGATCATTTCAAAACGGCAAAGAATTGGTGCAAGGTTCCCCTTGAGAAAGGGTATGTCATGATAGCTCAGAACGGCCTCAACATGGAGTTTAAAACAAATTCCTTGGCTTGAATTTTCATGGCATGTTGAGCAGTATGATTCCTTGAACCCACCCACCGGCCCTCTCTCTCTCACCGTCTCTCTCTACCCAAACAAGCGATGCAACCAAATTAATGGCAGAGTCTCTCCATCTGCCTCACCAGGTGCAACTAAAACCCTCAATCTTCATCGCCTCCTCTTCCCACAAACCCATCTCATCCCTCACCCAACAATTCACACAAAATCCCCAACCTCTCTATCTCCGCTGAGCTCGCACTCGCAGTCGAACCCAAACGTGACTTGGTTCTCGAACTGAGGGTGGTGAGGTGTTGGTTTTTGCTCTGTTTTTAGAGATATGAAGGTCAGTCTTCTAGCATACACAATAATTTCATCGAATCTTTTCTCTAACTTCTGATTTCTGGAGATATGAAGGTCAGTCTTCTAGCAAATTCGGTGGCGAAAAGGTCGCGGGCAAGGGTTGGGTTGCGGACGACGGCGAGGTTCCTTGAAAAAGTGAAAAAATAATTGAACTAATTTGTGCCGCAGGATTGTACATGAACGGCCAGGATGAAACCGTCCGCTGGCTCCGCATAGGAAGGATCCGGAGAGGTGCCATCAGTTTCAGTGACAGCGTGGTTTAGGTTATTCTTTAAAACAAATTATATTTAAAATATTTTCCTTCTTAGATTAACATTTCTAAAAAATTCTATGTTTTATTTTAACTATGTGGCATATTATTGACAACCACATCAGCAAAAGAGTGAGATTTACAGTTGCCACATCATAATTTAACGGTTAAATTAAAGATTTAAGTAACAAATGAAGAAAATTGCAACGAAAATACAAGTTTGTCTATGATATTCAAATTTTTGTTTTTAAATGTATGAGATTTAATGTATATATGAAGTGGTTTCCTCCAAGTGGGACAGCAAAAATGGACAACCGCCAAAAATATTGCCGCAAAGAACTTAGCTGGGATCCACAGCGCACACTTCGCACGTAACACATCGACATCAAAACGTGCCAATTTCAGTACAAAAAGAAAAAAAAAGGTAAATAATGTGTGTGGTCCTTGTGCTTGGAGTTTACTCATTAATTTGTAACGACTTATACTTTATTATAATATTTTTAAGGTTTTTCAATCAAAATAATTTTTTAAATTTGTATAATTCTTCATTTTGATCTTTGAAATTTGAAATCAATAGAAGTGATATCTGAAATTATTCACTATCAATCATTTTGGTCCTTAGGTGAAAAATTATGTTAAATACAGATCAAAATGACAGAATTATTCTTAATTTAATAAACAAAAGGCCAAAATAATTTGACTAAAATTTAGAGTATTTTTATTATTATATTCTTATTTTATAGAGATTTTTCGCAGACTGACTAAAATGATTGATTGTTAACAAACTTATGGACCAATTCTATCTATTTCAAATCTCAATGATCAAAATAAAGAATTATGCAAATCTTAAAGATCATTTTAGCTTAAAAAGCTTATTTGTAAATCTAATTTGCAAGACATCTTATGCCGTTTTATCAACTTAGGAACGAAATCCGGTACTTTCCTAAAAATCACCATCTTACTTCAGTAAGCTTCCTTCTGCCACCTGTCCCCAGTCTTCATATAGTCAAAGTCAAATCAATCTATATATTCTCCACATTGTGTCAGTTTTTGTGTGCGTGTTTTGGGAACTCCGGAACTTGCGCATACATGCAAGCAACATTTCCCCACCTGGTGCCTCTCTCCTCCCTCGTGCCCACCCATCTTTCAGCCTCACCCGTTGGATTTGAAACCAGGCCAAACCCAAACTGCAGGCCACATTAGGCCCAAAAGTCGGAATGGCAAATCGGTAAATAAAATAAAATCAACCCATTTTTGTAAAGAGTGGCAAAAAGGTAGATAAATCAAAATCAACCTAATTTTACCGTAACTTATGAATAGTGCCAAAACCCGTGAATTGCTATTGTGTCCTATGTGACATATTACTGACTCCCACATCAACAAAAGAGCGTGACTAACAGTTGACAGAGTCTGATTTAACGGTCAAATTGAAAATTTGATTAACGAATGTATAAAGTTGCAATTAAAATAAAAGTTTGTATATAGAATTGATATATTTTAAAGATTTTGTATGAGATAACAATTGTATTCAAATATGTATCAAGAAGTGGTTTCCTCCATGTGAGACAGCCAAAAAGGGACAATCGGAAAATTGTTGCGGCAAGGAACTTAGCCATGGTTCGCACACAACACATCGACATTAAAAGGTGCCACAATTTCAGTAACAAGAAAGAAAAAATAAATAACACGTGCAGTTATGATGAATTTGGACCAGTATTTGAGCTCTACTTATTATTTTGTAGGCGGTGATGATGCTTTATTGTAATATTTTTAAATTTTGAAATCTTTGTAGTATATTTATATTTGAAAATAAAATAAAATACGAACATTACTTAGTTGGGTAAGTTTCCTTCTGCCACCTTCCAACGGTCCTCACATGGTCCAAGTCAAAAATCATTCTATATATTTTCTCTACATTGTCTGTCTCACTCTGTTTTTGTGTATGGGAACACCGGAACTTGCCTCTGTGGGCAACATTTCTCCACGTGGCGGCCTCTTCACACTCGGTGTGCAACTCGCATTGGACCCGGGGCCCACTCAAGACCCTCCCAATCCAAAGCTATAAAAACCACCTCACTCTCTCCCCAATTTTCAGCCTGCAACCCTAAAAGTTGTACTAAAACACACTCTCAACTCACAGCTTTCTCGGACGCAGCAGAACAAATGAACACGATCTCCAGGCAACTCTCCGATTCCGCCGAAAGGCCCGAATCGAGTTCCGACACAAGCGTCACGACTCGAAGCCAGCTGACTTCGTTCTCAGACGAGGAGGTCATTTTGGCGTCCAGCACGCCGAAGAAGCGAGCGGGGAGGAGAGTTTTCAACGAGACAAGGCACCCGGTTTACAGAGGAGTGAGGAGGAGGAACAACGACAAGTGGGTGTGCGAAATGAGAGAACCGAACAAGAAGAAGTCGAGGATATGGCTCGGAACTTATCCAACGGCAGAGATGGCAGCTCGGGCGCATGACGTGGCGGCATTGGCCTTTAGAGGGAGGCTTGCCTGCCTCAATTTTGCAGACTCGGCATGGCGCCTGCCTGTTCCGGCTTCCACTGATTCAGTGGATATCAGGCGGGCGGCCGCGGAGGCTGCAGAGACATTCAGGCCAGCTGAGTTTGGCGGAGTGTCGGAAAGTGGGGATGATGAGAAGGAGAGCAAAAGATGGAGGGGGAGAAGGATTGTGGAGGTGCGGAGCAAAGCGATTGTGGAGGTGCGGAGCAAAGCGATTGTGGAGGTGCGGAGCAAAGCGACTGTGGAGGTGCGGAGCAAAGTGGCAGCTCGTTTTACTTGGATGAGGAGGAAATGTTCGCCATGCCAAGGTTGCTTGATAGTATGGCCGAAGGGCTTCTGCTCTCTCCACCTCGCCGTTCAGCTGGTGGCAACATGAACTGGGATGATATGGGAAGCAATGATGACGTCAATCTGTGGAGCTTCTCAAAGTAATAGATATTTATCCAGGTGTATTCATCATCCCTAAGGACACTATGCGTTTATTTTTTCATTTAATTTTTGCCATTAAAAAAATAGTGTCCGTTGTTTATGCGTGTAAAAACAATTATAATTTATATATAGTTTGATTATATTTTAGTCCAAGGGAAATATCTTGTTTTAGAGCTCTAAGGGTATTGATGGTACTAAATAATACACTGTTAGTGTGAGATATTTAGGTTCATTATCCATAAAGTTACTAAATTTGGATTGATTGAATATAAAGGTATCTAATTTTGTATGATTAAGATATGCTCTTTTATGGAAATATCTTGCTCTATTTTAGTATGTGGTGTAGCGGTGAAGTGAGGTGCTTGCCTCCATGTTACGTCTGTGGCCATAAGTCCTTACACGTGTCAGGTATTGCATGAGTTGACTTGTGGCTTTATACAGGGTTTCATAGATCTGTTGAATTGGTGGCCTGGGTGTTAACTTTCTGAACTTGGCCTTCCTTCCTTGCCCCTGTTTCTCACCCATTGGCTAATCTGAACGTCGTGGCTCTATGTCCCCTTTATTTTATTTTACACTGAAGTGTTTTCAAAATAATCAAAAACGTTTTTGTTAAAAATGTTTTTAGAATTGATTCATAACGAAAATATAAGTGAATCTTAAAAATGGAGTTGGAGTGCTTTTTACAACTAGTTTTTCTTTTAAAAGATACTTCAAGTATTTTTAGAACCTAAAAACGTTTTCATCTATAACGATTTCAATTATTTAAAAGTACTTCAATCGAATTCTTACTTTAATCGTACGTGCTCATGAGAAACCCGACATTAATCGATTATCATATGGGGAAACACAAGGGACCAGATCCCCAACTTTACTCACACCTGTTGCTGAGGTAGATTATATATTCCACTGCAACACCAAAATGAACGTAGGACACCATAGTCTTACTGTCTTAGGGTTTAGGGTTCAATCCACCTCTTACACAGGTGAACAAAGTTCCATGAAATAACTCACCCAGAAAATACGTACTTTCGAGTAAGGTAGATTAACCCAAGAGTCTACCTTTTACAGAGAAACATAAAAACTGAATGGCACAAGTGAAGAATGTATATAAACAACACCACTGCCAACAGAAAAAAAAACTCCAGCCCAAGACACCCGTTACAGCGGAAGATAAACATGGCACCTATAAGCAAAGGTATGCGTGTCTTTTCTCTTATCTGCCTTTGTCTTTTCGAGTTCGTTTCTTCCTCCAAAACAGGCATGCAGCCGTCTCCTTTTATTTCCCTTCATCGCTTGGAATCTTCCTTTAAATCCCACTTGTTTTGGTTTTGGTCTCAACGCTCCACTTGTCAATTTAGTGAAGGAATATGAAGGATAATATTGGGCATAAAAGGGCAGCACGAACTTTCCTACAAAAATGGTCAGAATAGTTCTCTAGCTGGGGTTTAAATCCCAGCTAAAACGGATTGCATAATTTTGAAATCCGGATAGCATTCACTAAAACGACCATAATTCATTGGATGAATATCGGACTGACATGATTCTAGCGCCATTGGAAGGAAGACTTCCTTAGCTTTCTCTCTGGATGCATAAATGGCAGCCTACTGAAGTCGCTTGGCAGAAACTCCCACATTTCAGATTTTCCAAATATTGTTTCACATCCGGGTTTTAGGCATCGCTTTGGTATCCCGCAATCTTCTTTTGAACGATCATGGACCATCTTTAAGCTCTCAAAACTCCTCCACTCAGGCTCAAAATTCCTTTCTTTGCATTAAGTCCTACAAAATAAGAAAACTACAAATAAACTACTAAAGGATGAAAAACTATTGCAAAGGGTATTTTTAAACCAAGTCTTTTATCAGTTGGATGAGGAGGAAATGTTCACCTCACCCTTCAGGTGGCTGCATTTACCGGGATGACATATAAAGCAATGCTGACGTCAGTCTGTGAAGCTTCTTAAATTAATAGATTACACTTTGCGTTTATTTTTTCATTCAATTTTTACCACTAAATAAAATAGTGTCCGTTGTTTATACGTGTGAAAACAATTATAATTTATAAAGTTGTTGCGTTACAATTTAGTTGATCCTAAATATCTCACACTAACGTTGTCTTGTATATACCATTAATACCCTTAACGGTCTAAAACAAGATATTTTACATAAAGTTACTAAATTTGGAGTGATTGAATATAAAAGGTATCTAATTTTGTGTGATTGAGATATCTTGTTCTTGTCTGGAATATCTTGCCCTTTCCTAGTATGTGGTGTAGTAATGAAAGGAGCTTGCTTTCCTCCATTATACGCATGTGGTCATAATTGTTACACGTGTCAGGTATTGCATGGGATTCGTGCTCACGCGGCATATAATATTAGAAACCGAAAGAAAACTATTATTAGCATTTCAAAAATCACATTCTACATTCCTTATAAGTGTATTTTTCTTTCTAATTATGGAAAGTTTGAAGTACCAAAATAGATTTTTGAAGTGCTAATAACAATTCCCAACGAAAATCACTTTTTACTTGTTTATGCACCAACACTATAGCTTTCCACTTATATTTACTAAATTAAGTGAAAAAGAGAAAATTTTCAAGAGAATAACTTCAAAATAGCATAAGAATTTGCTTCCTTAATTTGTTATCAAATAGCAATACATTTACACAAAAACGAGAGCAAGTACCGGGTTGTTATATTAACACTCCATATTTGGTTGACTGCACTCACATTTACTTTTTAAATTAAAATTTATCTTAGCACATCCCGTATATTTTTCATTACTACCCTCAGACCTAGAGGTGGAAATTTTTACCAAATTACCATACCAACCGCCCTACTAACCATATCATACCAAATTATTACCAAAAATTTGTACCAATTGGTAATGGTACGGTATTTGTACCGTACCGTACCATACTATTTCGGTACGACACTGGTATCTAAAACCAGTACCGATGGTATACCGTACCTACCAATATTATTAATATTATATTATGTATTTAGTCATATAATTATTTGATGGCAAAATTAATAAAATTAATAATAATTATTGTAGAAGTGTTAAAATATATATATATATATATATATAATCACTCATAGTGACAAGCTTTACAACATTCAGAAAGAGGTCAGCTTCAAAATCCAACACTTTAATCCATAAACCTTAAATTTATATTTAACCATCAATTGTCATTTACGCTTTATTTTTCTTACTGAATTTTATTTTTAAAATTTTATTTTTTGAAAACATGATCATCTGCCGAATGTAACAAGATAAACAGTTCAAATCTTTGATATCACATTTCGATATTTACGGTTAACTGAAATATAAGTTGATGTCATATAGTTTGTAGAAACTTTATAAACATCAAGCAATATTTTCACTAACCGTAAGACTCTGAACATAATATCAAAGATCCAAACCGTTCATCTTCCTGCATCCTTTAATAGATCATGGTTTCAAAAAAGAAAATCCGAAAAAAATAAAATTTGATGAGAAAAATGAAGCATAAATGTAAATAACAATCAACGATTAAATTTTGATCAATCATTTATATGATTATAATGGCGAGTTTCAAAGTTAAGCTCTTTACGAAAGTTGTAAAGCTTGTTATTACGAGTGTTTATATATTTTTTTACACTTCTACATTAATTAAAAAATATTAAATTTTGGGCAAACTAAGTGGCGTAAAACAAAGTGGCAATTACCATTGGCATACCATACCAACCAAACTATTTGGTATATTGATATTTGATATACTGAAAGTTTGGTACGGTAATGGGAATAGATTTTATTGTACCAAATATTTGGTACGGTAATTGGTACAAAGGTTTTGGTACGGTAATGTACCAAAACCACCCCTACTCATACCTCACACTCTCATACACCCACAATCATCAGTTTATCACAAATCAAACTCTTCATCTGTTTCAAACAAAAGAATAACTACATTTTAAAGATAAGAAAGATGAATTAAATTGTTGTATAAAATCTCCCTTCTACCATTTGATTTATATAGACATCCAAATGCCTTTTCAAATTTTCTTGAACAATAACGTTGGATTCCAAACATGAAGCATAAACGTAGGAACTGTTACGGTCATATCAGTTTGTATAAATGACTTTCCCGAGATTTGCAAAAGGAAAACATTTGTTTGTTTAAATACTGCCAACGGACGTACATCATTTTATGAAAGATTATAACCAATTCTAAATTCCTTCACTACAACAGAATTGGTCTTTTACGACACACAAAGACCGTAAACGGTTGTTCATGACATGAGCCCCCAAACAGTTAAAGCCCTTATCGTAAAAGATGTTTTGGCAAATACGACGTTATCTAGTAGCTGTGAATAATTTAAGCAAAACACGTCCTAAATGCTTTTTAAGGCGTGCCTTGCGCACCTTAATTGGTATTAGATACGGCGTTAATGAAATGTTGTAATACTACGAAAATAATTACGGCATACCTGTGTGCCGTAATTTATATTTGATACGGCGTTTGTTGAGTGTCGTAATGATGTGAAAGCAATTACGGCATACGTCGTATATCGTAAACGAAGACTAGCATCAACAATTACTGCTGATTTTGTATACAGTAAGAAATTTGTCACTTGAAAGACTTCACTTTTCGTTGAACACCTCCAAACGAAATCCTTTGAGAGTGAAATACTACTCCTAATGCTTGAACCACTCTAATTGCTATCTCTATCTGCATAGACATAAGCACATGGAGCAAAAGAAAATCTATTGTACTACTATATGTAAAAATGCACATTTAATCTCAAGTAAGAAATGTGATAATGAAAGGAAACCTAATCATTGTCATACAAACCTAAATTCCTAATTATGCCTTCACAATTTTATTGTTTTACACTCATACATGTATCAACTGACTAAAATATACACAAATTATGCCCTTACAGTTTTATGTTTCCTATAACTTGCATAAAAATCATATACTTGCGAGTAGATAAATTTATGAGTCTCTAACATTTCACGCATGAAGAATTGATGCAGCAAGTAGAAGATTGAATATTAGATTAGTGGATATGGTTATCAATTATGATATCCCAAAAAACTCTAAGGTAAGATTCACTGTTTTTTGACCTATTGGCTTGCTATTATCAATTTACATCAAAGTTAGCCATTTATCTAGTTTTTGGGTCTTAATATATTACAAATTCAACATCAACAAAAGCACCAACAAATTTCAATTTTTTTTCATTTCTTTTTGTTCCATTTTCTTCAATCCAATCAACTTTCTTGGGAACTAAAACAAAAGAACAAAAAGAGAGGGTTCCCAACCTATCTCAACTTCGTCTTTGGAAACTAGGCACTGGGAACGGAAAGAGTTCTCAACCAAGATACTCTAGCTAGTCAAAGGAGATGGATTCGGTTGGTAAGTTAAGAGCTAGTCAAAACAAAATGTTAACTTAGACATTGATAAAGACTTTAATACTAATAAAATTAAGTATAAACTTTTCCACTCATTACCACTGCATTTGCAACCTCTTCGATTAAAAATTCACCAAAGACTTGAATGCTACCTGAAAATAGTAAAAAGAAATAGAATATATAAGTGAATATAAATCATACCAAAGGAACTCAATATAATTATCATTTTTATCCGATAGTACAAACTAAACAAAGTACTACACTATTACTATAACAAACTCACAGAGTACTAGGCTAAGCAACAAAGTCGATAATTCAAGTATTAGGCTAAGCCCCAGTGTTATTTTACTGCCACAACATACTCACAGATTATTTGGATTTTCAAAACAGATTATTTGGAATGCAGTATCACTATAAGTCTGTAACATCTCCATCGCCTTTGCAAAAGTAGAACCTTGCTGAGTACCCTATATGACCTCGAGGTCCAGGACATGCATACAAAGAAACTCAAGCCACTCTGCAATCCCAACCAAATCACACAAAAGAGAGAGAGAGAGAGAGAGAGAGAGAGAGAGAGCAAAATTAAAAAATCCCCAACACCATAATTAAAACTCTTCAGAATTCTGAAACAGATCCAAGTATGAAACTGAAAATCAAGAGTTTGCACTATAATTCTACAATTATCTACTCCTTATGATGACTTGTAAACTAAAAATCAAAAGCTGTGATTTTGTATTCGATGACAGATCGAAAACAAGCACTAAGTGGTTACTAATTGACAAAGGGTCTTACTATCAACACTTTAAATAACAAAACCCTAATTTTGCGCTCAAATTGCCAAAAATTAAACAAATTATAATTAACATTTGATTCCAGAATTGACCAAATCCAAATCCAAAATCCCTAAATTCAAATTCAAATACCTAAATCTAGAAAGCCCCAATTTATTTCAATCTTAAATCCCTAATTGCATACCTTATTTGGAACATAGATGGTGGTCAGGAGTCAGGACCGTTAAGTGCAGGTGGCGGGAGAGAGTCGAGAGTCGACATGAAATGATGGTGGTACCGTGGTTGGAGATGAGAGAGATATCGAGGCCACTGGGATTGGGAGATACGAGAGTGAGTCAACAACACTTCGACAAATGGGGACGGATGGAGGAGCTTCGCTGGAAATGAGTGAGTGAAAGTCGAGAAAGATACTGTGTGAGAGAGGCAGAGAGAAACAAACAGAACCTGAGATATATATGGTAAATGAAAGGTGTAGATTGAATATCATGATTTGGATCTGAAATCAACAGTCCAAGCCAGTTACCGGTTCCTCATTTATTAAGTAAAAATAAACGGATGTTGGGGAAGTTATGTGGGAGCGAGATCTTGATTCAAGAAAAATAAAAGAAAGCGCGGGGTGGGAAGATTAGGTGGGAAGGTATTTACGACGTATTATTCGTGCCATAAAGGCTAGGTACTTAAATATATAGAAAATTCACTTTACTGATATAACACGAAGCTTTAAAAAGGAAGGAAAGTATATCGTATAAATTGTCAAATACAGCATACAACGCTTAAGCAGTAAATATTTTTATTTAACGACTTGCATAAAAGTGATGTTGAGAATGTGAGATTATGCGCAAGTATTATGACATGAACTTTATGATGTCACGAATAATATCATTTAAGTCCATGTTGGTTTGTACGTTGTATATTTCAAGTCGTAAAAGACCTAAACTGTTGTAGTGCTTTGAAGGTTATTACCAAACGGCATTGCTTCCATTCTAACCAGCAAAAACATAGAATTTCTTCATCATCAAATAGCCACAATAATAATACATTTGATTATATTTAGAAATTTTACAATATTCTCCACTTTTCTTCCTATTTTTTGGATTTCAATTAGAGCAGGACTTTGCAAAAGGTCAATTTATATTGCATAAGTTGACTTGTTTCATTTCTCTGGGTTTCTTATTTCAGAGGGTGTTAACTTTCTGGACTTGGCCTCCCTCCCTCCTCGCTGTTTCTTACCTCGTGGTTAATGAACGCCGGTGCTCTTTTTTTTTTTTTTTTTTTTGTTTTTTTTAGAAGAGCTTTCAAAATGATTAAAAGAGTATTTACTTTTTTTATAAAGATGTTTTTAGAATTAATTTATAACAAAAATACATATGAATTTTGGAAAGGTAGTTTAAGTGCTTTCTACAATTAGTGTTTCTTCCAAAATACACTCCAAGTGTTTTTGGAAGCTAAAAACTCTTTGACCAGGTCCAATGACTGTACACTTGTCTTGCTGAGTCAGTTTTGTATTTTTTTTATCAAAATATTATTTTTCTTAGTAATATTGTCCTTTTTTTTCTTTTTTTTTTTTTATGTTTAGAAGAGCTTTCAAAATGATTAAAAGAGTATTTACTTTTTTTTTATAAAGATGCTTTTAGAATTAATTTATAACAAAAATACATATGAATTGTGGAAAAGTAGTTTAAGTGTTTTCTACAATTAGTGTTTCTTCCAAAATACACTCCAAGTGTTTTTGGAAGCTAAAAACTCTTTCACCAGGTCCAATGACTGTACACTTGTCTTGCTGAGTCAGTTTTGTATTTTTTATCAAAATATTATTTTTCTTAGCAATATTGTCCTTATGATTTAAATTTGTATTATCTTCATCGATTTTTTTTAAGGAATTAATTGATATATTTTTAAGGAATCTATTTGTTGCTAATAAGGAATTGATTGATACATTTTAAGGAACTTCTTGTTTGAATATGTTTTAAAATGACTAAAAGCACTTTTAGGAAAAATATTTTTGAAATCAATTATTAGTAAAAATGCAAGTAAATTTTGAAAAAACACTTAAAGGTGCTTACTGGAAGAAGCACATAACTTATATTTCTTGCAGAAAACATTTTAAGTGCTTTTAGAATAAAAAAACATTTTCTATAAAAATGCTTTCAGTCATTTTAAAAGTTTAACTAAACGAGTCATTTGTCATCCAAAACATATAATATCAAACAAATAAAAGAAACTACAAAATACCTACCAAAAAGGTACATGAAAATGGATTTGGATCCTCTCCTAAGCCAATGGAGAGGATTCTTCTGACCAATCATCATGGACCGTTAGATTTTTATCCAACGATTACAATTATTATAACTTTAAAAGAACCTCCTGTTTGTAGTTGTTAGATAAAAATCCAACAGCTTACGATAATTGGTCATGAAGATGCTCACCATTAGCTCAGGAGAGGATCCAAATTCCATGAAAATGAACACAAGTAGGGTGGTTACCTTGAAATATCAACCTCTAATAGATCAAATAAACTTCGAAATGCTTTCCAATATTTAATCCAATATCATATGAGGAAACACGAGAGAAACCCAGGCACTACAAAACTCTCCCAGATCCCCAACTTTATTTAATCGAATATCAACCTGCTGCTGGCTTCGTTCTCCGACGAGTAGGTCATTTTGGCGTCCAGCACGCCGAAGAAGCGAGCGGGGAGGAGAGTTTTCAACGAGACAAGGCACCCGGTTTACAGAGGAGTGAGGAGGAGGAACAACGACAAGTGGGTGTGCGAAATGAGAGAACCGAACAAGAAGAAGTCGAGGATATGGCTCGGAACTTATCCAACGGCAGAGATGGCAGCTCGGGCGCATGACGTGGCGGCATTGGCCTTTAGAGGGAGGCTTGCCTGCCTCAATTTTGCAGACTCGGCATGGCGCCTGCCTGTTCCGGCTTCCACTGATTCAGTGGATATCAGGCGGGCGGCCGCGGAGGCTGCAGAGACATTCAGGCCAGCTGAGTTTGGCGGAGTGTCGGAAAGTGGGGATGATGAGAAGGAGAGCAAGAAGATGGAAGGGGAGAAGGATTGTGGAGGTGCGGAGCAAAGCGATTGTGGAGGTGCGGAGCAAAGCGACTGTGGAGGTGCGGAGCAAAGTGGCAGCTCGTTTTACTTGGATGAGGAGGAAATGTTCGCCATGCCAAGGTTGCTTGATAGTATGGCCGAAGGGCTTCTGCTCTCTCCACCTCGCCGTTCAGCTGGTGGCAACATGAACTGGGATGATATGGGAAGCAATGATGACGTCAATCTGTGGAGCTTCTCAAAGTAATAGATATTTATACAGGTGTATTCATCATCCCTAAGGACACTATCCGTTTATTTTTTCATTTAATTTTTGCCATTAAAAAAATAGTATCCGTTATTTATGAGTGTAAAAATAATTATAATTTATATATAGTTATTTGATTATATTTTAGTCTAAGGGAAATATCTTGTTTTAGACCTTTAAGGGGGCGTTTGTTGCGCCGGACTATCTCGGACTGGATTAGCTTCAAGGACTAAGCTGGACTGGCTTAGACTAGACTAAACTGGACTAACTTAGTCAAGCGTTTGGTGCAGTATTGGACTAAGAAGCTGGATAATAACAAATTATAATATTATATTATTTAATATATAAATTATTAATATTTTATTATGATCTTATCTTTTTCTTCATTTTTCCTACCATTTCCTCGTTAAATTGGATGAAGTTAGCACTGCCAAAAAATTCATCACCATCCCTGGACCGAGATCTTAGCTTTGAATGCTCGAGACTTCCAGGCCATTTTCCAGCCACATTCGACCACATTTTGGCCTCGATTCAGGTAAAATCGTAATCTTATCACTCCCAGCTTCAATTTGGTATATTTTGTATGAAAGTTGGTTGTGAAATGGATCTGAAAGAGAGTCGGAAAGTTAATTATTGATCTAGGTGACCGGAGATGACGAGGAGTCTGTCAAGAGTAGTCGTTGAGCATGACGAGGACGAGAAAGAGAAGATAGTCTTAGCTAGTCCCATGGTTATTGGGGGGTCTCGCTAAGACCTCTTAGTGAAGGGTTTTGTCCATGCTAGTCCCCTTTAGTCTCATTAATTTTAGTCCCAGCATGGAACAAACACAGTATTGGACTAATAACTAGTCCAGTCCAGTCCAACTTAGTGAGGGCAAACAAACGCCCCCTAAGGGTATTGATGGTACTAAATAATACACTGTTAGTGTGAGATATTTAGGTTCATTATCCATAAAGTTACTAAATTTGGATTGATTGAATATAAAGGTATCTAATTTTGTATGATTAAGATATGCTCTTTTATGGAAATATCTTGCCCTATTTTAGTATGTGGTGTAGTAGTGAAGTGAGGTGCTTGCTTCCATGTTACGTCTGTGGCCATGAGTCCTTACACGTGTCAGGTATTGCATGAGTTGACTTGTTTCTTTATACAGGGTTTCATAGATCTGTTGAATTGGTGGCTTGGGTGTTGAGTTTGGATACTTTCCTGAGCTAATAGAGAGGATCCTCATGATCAATTATCGTGGGTCGTTAGATTTTTAACCAATAACTATAAACAGGAATGTCTCTTTAAAGTTATAATAATTATAACCGTTGAATAAAAATCCAACGGTCCATGATGATTGGTCATAGGGATCCTCTTCATTAGCTCAGGAGAGGATCCAAATCCTGGGTGTTAACTTTATGAACTTGGCCTTCCTTCCTTGCCCCTGTTTCTCACCCATTGGTTAATCTGAACGTCGTGGCTCTATGTCCCCTTTATTTTATTTTACATGGAAGTGTTTTCAAAATAATCGAAAATGTTTTTGTTAAAAATGTTTTTAGAATTGATTCATAGCAAAAATATAAATGAATCTTGGAAATGCAGTTGGAATGGTTTTTTACAACTAATTTTTCTTTCAAAACATACTTCAAGCCCAACATGGCACCTATAAGCCCAAGACACCTGTTACAGCGGAAGACAAACATGGCACCTATAAGCAAGGTAGGCGTGTCTTTTCTCTTCTCTGCCTTCGTCTTTTCGAGTTCGTTTCTTCCTCCAAAACAGGCATGCAGCCGTCTCCTTTTATTTCCCTTCATCGCTTGGAATCTTCCTTTAAGTCCCAATTGTTTTGGTTTTGGTCTCAACCCTCCACTTGTCAATTTAGTGAGGAATATGAAGTATAATATTGGGCATAAAAGGAAGGCATGAACTTTCCTACAAAAATGGTCAGAATAGTTCTCTAGCTGGGGTTTAAATCCCCAGCTAAAACGGATTGCATAATTTTGAAATCCGTACAGCAATCACTAAAACGACCATAATTCATTGGACGAATATCGGACTGACATGATTCTAGCGCCATTGGAAGGAAGACTTCCTTAGCTTTCCATCCATATGTGCTATGCAATCTGGTTTCTCTGGATGCATAAATGGCAGCTTACTGAAGTCGCTTGGCAGAAACTCTCACATTTCAGATTTTCCAAATTTTGTTTCACATCCGGGTTTTAGGCATCGCTTTGGTATCCCGCAATCTTCTTTTGAACGATCATGGACCATCTTTAAGTTGTCAAAACTCCTCCACTCATGCTCAAAATTCCTTTCTTTGCATTAAGTCCTACAAAATAAGAAAACTACAAATAAACTACTAAAGGATGAAAAACTATTGCAAAGGGTATTTTTAAAGCAAGTCTTTTATCAGTTGGATGAGGAGGAAATGTTCACCTCACCCTTCAGTGGCTGCATTTACCGGGATGACATATAAAGCAATGCTGACGTCAGTCTGTGAAGCTTCTCAAATTAATAGATTACACTTTGCGTTTATTTTTTCATTCAATTTTTACCACTAGATAAAATAGTGTCTGTTGTTTATGCACGTGAAGACAATTATAATTTATAAGGTTGTTGCGTTACATTTTAGTTGATCCTAAATATCTCGTTGTCTTTTATATACCATTAATACCCTTAACGGTCTAAAACAAGATATTTTACATAAAGTTACTAAATTTGGAGTGACTGAATATACAGGTATCTAATTTTGTGTGATTGAGATACCTTTTTCTTGTCTGGAATATCTTGCCCTTTCCTAGTATGTGGTGTTGTAGTTGTAATGAAATGAGCTTGCCTTCCTCCATGATGCGCGTGTGGTCATAATTGTTACACGTGTCAGGTATTGCATGGGATTGGTGCTCACGCGGCATATAATAATAGAAACGGAAAGAAAACTGTTATTAGTATTTCAAAAATCACATTCTACACTCCTCATAAGTGTATTTTTCTTTCGAATTATAGAAAGTTTGAAGTACCAAAAGAGATTTTTAGAGTGCTAATAACAATTCTCAACGAAAATCACTTTTTACTTGTTTATGCACCAGCACTATAGCTTTCCACTTATATTTACTAAATTAAGTGAAAAAGAGAAAATTTTCAAGAGAATAACTTCAAAATAGCATAAGAATTTGCTTCCTTAATTTGTTATCAAATAGCAATACATTTACACAAAAACGAGAGCAAGTACCGGGTTATTATATTAACACTCCATATTTTGTTGACTGCACTCACATGTACTTTTTAAATTAAAATTTATCTTAGCACATCCCGCATATTTTCCATTACTACCCTCATACCTAGAGGTGAAAATTTTTACCAAATTATCATACCAACCGTCCTACCAATCATATCATTCCAAATTATTACCAAAAATTTGTACCAATTGGTAATGTTTATACCGTACCATACTGTACAAGAGAGAGACAGGCACTACAAAACTACCAGATCCCCAACTTTACTCGCACTTGTTGCTGAGATAGATTATATATTCCACTGCAGCAGCAAAATGAACGTAGGACACCATAGTCTTACTGTCTTAGGGTTTAGGGTTCAATCCACCTCTTACACAGGTGAACAAAGTTCCATGAAATAACTCACCCAGAAAATACGTACTTCCGAGTAAGGTAGATAAACCCAAGAGTCTACCTTTTACAGAGAAACATAAAAAATGAATGGCACAAGTGAAGAATGTACATAAACAACACCACTGCCAACAGAAAAAAACTCCAGCCCAAGACACCTGTTACAGCGGAAGACAAACATGGCACCTGTAAGGAAGGTATGCGTGTCTTTTCTCTTCTCGGTCTTCGTCTTTTCTCGTTCGTTTCTGTTGAAAAAAAATAGGATCTAATTGTTATATTAAATCATATGAAAATCAAAAAATAATTCATACAATTATATATATCACAATAATGCATGAAGTAACTAATGTTAAATGTACATGATATAATGGATTAGAAAAACCTAGAAAATACGGTCGAAACAAGTGTTGGACACTTTGTCCTTAAGACAAGTTTACGCTCCATTACGGTGCTTATGGTTGATCGGCGCATGTCTCCTAAGATACAACGATCACGTTTTTGTAATAGTAGCACTCCAAATCACAAGGCTTCATGAACCACAATTGTGTTGAAAACTTTCTTATATGAACTCAATGTGACTCTCTAATATTTAGTACACTCTATGTGTAATTATGTAAAACAATGAAAAGTTCTTTTGGTGACTATAGGGGACTTCCCTATTTATAGAATGTGAGATATCTTTGGAAAACATGTGACTATTCATGAAGAGTCAAAAGTTACAACACTTCATTTAAGTAGACATATCTTTCTACCAAAAGGCTCTACTTCTAATTTCCATTTAGTTAATAAATTTAATATAATAATATTATTATAAAATTTTCCAACAATCCCCCACATAAATGGAAATTGACTCAATACCATGCAAATGACAATATAAACACTAGAGAGAGAATTTAGTAGGAAAAGTACCGCATCGGGATAAGTGGCTTTTGGCTTTGAACCTTCCGTAGTGAATTACTATCGGATTTACTTGGCTAATCAGTAAACGCGATGTCTTGAACTGCTCAGCCGTTTATGTAAACCAAAACAATAGTAATCACACAATACCCTTCCAGACACCCTGTGGTTGCTCGGTTGTGTTCATTTTGGCCCTAAACAATTTTTGGTTTCTTGTGAGTGCTTTCAGAGAATTAAGCCCTTCAAACAATTCTCACAGGAACGACCCCATTCATCACTCAAGATAGGTGACTTCCCATTAAGAGAATCATGCAATACCCTACTTGTTATTTCCAAGTATAGGAATCATTAAAAGCAAAACTTATCCTAAATACGTTGCATATAGCACTGTTTCATCATAGGATATGGGTAGGAGATTATCTCTGCAGTGCTCCCATTAAATCATCCACAATTCAGCTGTCCCTTTGAACTTAGATCTTGGGATCTCCAGTCAACTAGGTTGGGTTGTCATTATGGCGATTCTTAAGACGTAAGCTTTTAACCCATTCCCCTCGATTATACAACTTACTCTTAGTCAAACCTTTAAAAATT